ATGCTTTCATTAGATCTAAAAAATAGACCAAGCGTATAGTTTTTGTCTTCAATATTAGTTATTATTTTATATTTGATATACAAGAGTGCTTGTTCAGTGGATTTATTCTTTTGAAAGCCATACTGACTCGTTGTTATTACTTTGCGTGCGTTAAAAATTGTAACTAATCGGACGCAAATTATATCTTCGAAAATCTTTAAAAACACAGTTAAGATAGATATTGGCCTGTAATTACTAAATTGTCCATTATCCCCCCTTTGTGTATTGGCGTAACTTGGGTTATTTTCAATTCTTCCGGGAAAATTCCACCAGTTAATGTTAAATTTAGTAAATATGCTAGCACTTCGCTAATCTCATGCGCGACATGTATTACTGCATTCGAAGTAATTCCGTCTATACCCGCAGCTACATTTCGTTTTAGCTTTTTTATTACTGTTACTACTTCGTTGGGATCTGTTGCTCTCAAGAAAATAGTTTCATTGACCTCGGCTATAACTTCATTATTACTTCTACTGCTTTCTGCACCAGGTGGATAAGTCCCCACTTTTATAAAATGTCTGTTCACATCGTCAACTAGTTTTGTGTTTTCTGCTGTCGTCAGGGCTGTGTGGGATTGGTCACTTCTTGTTCTTACTGCTAGATTGTTAACTGCTTCCCACAATTTTTTTTGGTTGATTTCGCAGCCGATAGAAAAGTTCCTCAAAGTACGCGTCTTTCGCGCTTTTAATATCACTGTTTATTTATTTCTATATTTCTTATACTCCTTTAGCACTTCTGGATCGCAATTTCTAAGAAACTTGTGAAATATAGAATTCTTATGTTTTATACGTTTATACAAGTTTTATCTACCCATGGCTTTCTTGCTTTTTTGTTTCTGTGATTAGCTTGTTGCAATAGAAAAGCAATGTCATATTATTCACGCATACGCTGCAAGAAGATACTGTAAGCCTTCTCAGCCTCGGATTCACGATAAACATCTTTCCATCGTTCTTTTGACAGCAACAGCCTAAAATCCTCCAATGTTTGATCATTAATCTTGCGATGAAAATGAGCTGGGCGACGTGCATTTGCGATACTGTAGCTGATTTTGATAATGCAATAAATCGGGAATGATCACTTACATCAGAAACTAGAACACCTGCTTTGATGTCACTACTGCGTATGTTTGATAAGCATACGTCTATTAAAGTACCAGAAGTTGCCGTTATTCTTGTGGGAAAATCAATAAAGTTTTTGAAAGCATGACAATGAAGAAGATTACTTATCTCATGTGACCATGTGTCTTCTGAGATCATGTTTATGTTAATATCACTCATGATAATAGAGAGTTCACTTGTTTGGTATTGTTGTTGAAGTAACCGCTCTAAAAATTATTAAAATTAATTTTTTGCCCATTCGGGGGCCTGTAAATTACAGATACTGTTGTTTTTCCTATTCGTAGCGTTAAACACTCGACATCCTCACTAATTTCTTAGAGTTCTTCAGCCACAGAGTAAGAAAGGGTGTCTTTGACATATATTTATTTAATGACATATAATAGGATTAATTTTAAGACCCACGTTTCTGCTCTCCTTGTCTAACTCCGTAATCATGAGTTGCAATTAGTCCCCTGAGTTACTCAGCAATGCAATGTCAACGGCGAAGCGTAGGTTACTAAGGTACTCTCCATTAACTCTTAACCCTAACTGTTCCCATTCTAGGCTTCTGAAAACCTCCTGTAAGCACGCGGTAAATAGCATTAGAGAAATTTTGTCCCCCTGCTTTACACCCTTTTTGATTGGTATTCTGTTGCTTTTTTTATGAAGCACTATGGAAGCAGTTGATCCCCTGTATATTTCTTCCAGAATGTTTATATATACTTCATCTACGCCCTGATTCCGCAGTGTCTGCATGATGGCTGATATTTCTACTGAATCAAACGCCTTCTCGTAATCTATGAAGGCTATGTATAGTGGTTGGTTATATTCTGAGCATTTCTCTATTACCTGATTGACAGTATGAATGTGGTCAATTGTTGAGTAGCCTGTCTGAAATCCTGCTTGTTCGTTTGGTTGATTGAATTCTAATGTTTTCTTTACTCTGTTAGCAATTACCTTTGTAAATAGCTTGTATACTACAGAGAGCAAGCTGATCGGCCTGTAGTTCTTCAATTCCTTGTCATCTTCTTTCTTATATATTAAGATGATGTTAGCGTTCTTCCAAGACCCTGGTACTCTTCCCATCAGGAGACACCTCGTAAACAGAGTGGCTAGCTTTTCTAACACAATTTGTCCTCCATCTTTCAGCAGATCTGATGTTACCTAATCCTCACCAGCAGCTTTGCCTCTTTGCATGCTCTTCAAAGCTTTTATGAATTCTTCTATCATTACTGGTGGGGTGTCGTCTAAGTTACTGCTAGTTCTTATAGTATTAGGGTCGTGGTTGTCTCGGCTACTGTACAGATCTCTGTAAAACTCCTCCGCTATTTCAACTATCCTATCCATATTGGTAGTTATTTTGCCTTGTTTGTCCCTTAGTGCATACATACGATTTTTGCCTATCCCAAGTTTCCTTTTCACTGCTACGACGCTTCCTCCGTTTTTCAGAGCGTGTTCAATTCTCTCCATGTTATACCTTCTTACATCGCATACCTCACGCCTATTAACACAATTCGAAAGTTCTGCCAGTTCTATTTTGTCTGTTGTACTTGAGACTTTCATGATTTGACGCTTCCTAATTAGATTCTTCGTTTCCTGGGAAAGCTTGCCAATGTCCTGTCTAACTACCCTCCCTCCAACTTCCACTACACACTCCGTAATGATACTCGTCAGATTATCATTCATTGTATCTACGCTAAGGTTCGTTTCCTCACTAAGAGCCGAGTACCTGTTCTGAAGCTACACTCTGAATTCCTGTACTTTCCCTCTCAGTGCTAGCTCATTGACTGGCTTCTTGCGTATCAGTTTCTGTCGTTCCTTCTTCAAGTCTAGGTGAATTCGAGACCGTACCATTCTATGGTCACTGCATTGTACCTTGCCAACCACTTCCACATCCTGCACGATTCCTGGGTGTGCACTTATTATAAAGTCTATTTCGTTCTTATTTTCGCCGTTAGGGCTCCTCCATGTCCACTTGCGGTTTCCTCGTTTTCGGTAGAAGGTATTCAAAATCCGTAAATTATTGCGCGCTGCGAATTCTACTAGTAGTTCTCCTCTGGCATTTCTAGTACCAATGCCATAATCTCCTACTGCCTGGTCTCCAGCTTGCTTCTTTCCTACCTTTGCATTAAAGTCGCCCATCACTATAGTATACTGTGTTTTTACCTTACTCATTGCCGATTCCATGTCTTCATAGAAGCTTTCAACTGAAGCGTCATCATGGCTGGATGTAGGCGCGTAAGCCTGTATCACCTTCAACTTGTATCTCTTATTCAGTGTAATTACGATACATACCACCCTTTCATTAATGATATAGTATTCTTCTATGTCACCTGTTATGTTCCTGTGAATTAGGAACCCCACATCTAGTTATTTTCTGTCAGCCAAGCCACGATAGCAAAGGACGTGCCCATTCTGTAGCACCGTGTAGGCCTTATCTGTCCTCCTAACCTCACTGAGCCCTATTATATCCCATTTAACACCCTCTAGCTTCTCGAATAGTACAGCTAGACTTCCTTCACTAGATAAGGTTCAAGCGTTGAACGTTGCCAAGTTCAGGTTCCAATTGCAGCCTGTCCGGATCCAGAGATTCTTAGCACCCTCTGCTGCGTTGCAGATCTGACCGCCACCGTGGTCAGTTGCTTCGCAGCTGCTGGGGACTCAGGGCCGTGAGTTATTTGACGTATGCTAGTGAGAGGTAGTGGCCAGGTACTGCACCAGGGTGGGCAATCCTTCTCTGGTGAGGGAGTGCGCTCCCGGCAGTGGTTACCGGTGAGGCCGCACCCCAGGCCTCTTAATGCATTTCCATTACCACGCGGATTTTTTTATCTGGTTGGTAACTGCGCGGCTCCGGAATTTGAGCCACGGACGTTTTGCATGCGAGGTGGATGCTCTAACCACTACGCCATCGCCAACCTTCGTGCGTGAATACCGGGCTACAATTTTTATCAGACGCAATAGAGGCGTGAAACCATTAGGGAGAACGCAAGATGGCTAAATGTGCTCAGTGAATACGGGGTTGAGCAACCAAGGTTACTTAAGTTTGAACACTATCAAGTGCCGCGATATTATCGTACGGTGTTGTGATCGCATTTTGAGCCGTGCCGTGAAGCACCCTTCTGGACCGATTATGGTCAAGCAACTTTGACATTTGGTGATTTGGTGGTGTTTCATGATGTCCATAAAATCACCCACGGCTTCCAGCGAAATGACACGGATTGCTACGAGCAATCACGCATATAGCAGCGCTCAAAGATAAAAAATTAAAAAGGACAGAAAAAAACAGGGGCAGCTACGCACTCTGGGCGTGCGAACACTGAGGAAACAGAGGTGCTACTAGATGGTACGACTCCACCTCCTTCCCACCGCCTTGCTCAATTGTATTATACACGACTGCTGTAGTACTACGCTTAACATCGACCTATGTAGTATGCACCATAGAGTTTCCTAAAATTAACTAGAGGAGCTCTGGAGCTGCCATCGTTCAGCGACCATGGTAATAATGGGCAATACATAGATTTGCCTAGTGTTCGTACTTGCGGGTGGCGAATCGTATTTGCGGCTTCGTTTTTTTTGTTGGTTTCAGTTTTGTTTTAAAGGAAGAAAACCCTTTTGAACTTCCTGATCCGATTTGAAATGGTAAGCCGAAAAGAATATGTGCCGAAGCGCAACCGCTGAACATTCGCTGATTTTTGTTTCGTGAGAAATTAGCTCGAAGCCACACGAACAGACACGGAGCCAGAAGGAGGCCAGAAATGCGAAGATTAGACAAATGTGTATACCACCCTTCATTCCCATGCTCGCTGAAGCGCCATGCGTTGCAGCTCCCATAGGCACTAGCGCCAGAGTTCCCTCTAGTGTATATTAGGAAACTCTATGGTATGCACCGGTATTGGCAAGCGTGACTGTACCGTCAAGCAGGTCTTCCATTGCGATGCGCACGACCTTGTCGAAGGCCCTGGCGTACGCCGACGTTTGGAAGGTGAGCCCGAACTTGTGCTCTCTGGTGCACCAGTGGTGGAAGGTGGGCATCACCTTGTTGTACGTGAAGTCCCGCCCGATGGCACACGAGAGGAGCACGTGGGCCTCGCGCTCACCGGTGATCTGGTAGCAGCAGGCGCCCGGCCCGGGCGTCGCACTGTTCGGCTGCAGGTCGCAGCGCTTGCGCACCGACACGCTGATGAGGCCACCGCCGCCGAGCGGCACCCAGCCGCCCGTCGAGTCGTCCCGCGTCATCACCTGGGCCCGCACACGAACCAGGCAGCCAACATCGTGGAAGCTAGCTTCGGTCATGTTCCCTCTTCGGATGGAGTGTCATTTTGGCCGCGCGCGGGCTGCTTCGTCCGTCTTGCGATAATCCTCAGGTGTAGGCCGACGGGGGCCCCGACTTGGACGGGAAGGAGAAGTCGTCGACGCCGTCGTGGAGCTGCTTCGAAGTGCTCCGAACGGTCATTGACGAGGTTTTCTCTTCCTAATCGCGGTTGCACGTCACTTCACCAAAGAGAAATATAAACTCCCCCCGCCACTCAGCACGGACAACACAATCGGCGCCGCTTCTCACCACTGCCCCGCCAACAAGCCCCGGCCACACGCACTCACCAAAAGCCCCCCACACTCGTAGCTCAACACCGCCGCCGCTCGAGCTCGGCTCGCAGTCCGTTCCCGACGAAGACGTGAAAGCGTCTCCCCAACACTAGAGCTATTGCAAGCCTATTCTCAATTTGCTTCATTAAAACCGATATTTTTCTACATCCGGATTTGTCATATCGAGGTTTGAGTGTATTCGCTTCGAATCTCAAGTTTACTGAGGAGATGAAGAGATGAAACTAGCAAAAAACCACACGAAGAAAGCAAGGAAAAACAACCACACACAACTAGCGCTTGTCCTGGGGGGCTGTTATTCTTTCGTGTTGTTTATCGCTGGTTTTACCTTCGGTTTTCCGATTAAAGTCGAACGCCTTTATAAGAGACTTTTATGTGAGAGACAAATGGGTAAAGAGACACTGGTGTGCCTACAGCAAAATATGGGTTGATAAGAAAACGCATACGATGTACCTAGCTTATAGGAGACATCTTCTATAAAAGAAAAGAACTGCTGTGTCATAATTATAAAGGGGTTTAACTGTACTATGAACCAGCTACAAGCTAAATTACTCAAATTTACCATTTGCACAGGCTTACACATCACGAAAAACACGACAAGTTTTTGAAGAATGTCTTCCTAGGCAGCTTGTGACCACATACTGAAATGGGCTTTGCATCATAATGCCATACAACACGTGATGTCTTCCGAGAGCAATAAATCCCAAGAAGAGCAAAACTGTTAGTTTGCTTGGTTCATTTCAGGCAGTTATAAGTGTAGTAAATGGCATCAGAAAAGGTTACCTCATGAAAGCTGGCTCCAAGGCTTCATGCTGCCCTGTATTTAAATCTTTTTCTGCCCTCACTGCCAGTTGGAAATCCTTCTCGTGGTAGCCCAAATGCATGAGCAGCGTTTGTTGATTTAGGATATAGTACGGCAGAATCCCTAACAATCTTCCTTCACGCTACGGTGAAGGATGATTTGTCAACATTAGGAGGGAAGAGGGGTTGCTCAGTCAGGGTTCAAAGTTTAATATGGTGCAGAAGTGCAGCTAAGAATGAAGAATGCATGCCTATGGTTCTAAATAAATGCTTTACTTAATACGCATGCTTTGACCAGACAAATAAAAATGGTTAATAAAACTGCAAAAATGGCAGGTGGGGAGAAAGGGATGCATATTTTAAATCTCAAGAAGGAGAGATGGGGGTACTTGCTCAGGATTTTACGGTAGTCCCAATGAAAGTGGAGTGGTGTAGGTACGAGCCCGTATCTGACATAGTACAAAGCCACTTTAAACTTTTTTGTTTTAGCATACTTTTACGGCAACCATGTCTAAAGCATTCTTTGTAAAAGTAGGAGGACGCAGTTTAAATGGGCTGCACAAAAAATTACAAATGCAGTGAAGTATGGTCAATGTAACCAATCGATGGTGATATGATTGTTATAGGCAAGTTTGTATTTCATTCGGAGCTGATTGATGTTGTGCAATTATTTCTACCCAATGAGGGGACTCGTGTAATTGCATTTGAACTTTGCTGGGAACAAACAGTACCTCTCGTGTATTTTTCAATCCGAAGAGTTGCCAAGAAAAAGCACGGAGGCTAAAAGAGATTGAATTTTCAGAACGATAGAACGTAAAAAAGATCAAGATTGAGCGTGAAAATCAGGGCTTGTTTGACAAAAAAATATGAATATGTATCTAAGTGTGCAGTTAATGTTTGGTAGGGTATGTGTTAATGTGATAACTTTATATGAAACCACATAAAACAGATAGACCAGTAGGGAACAAAACTTGACAATTTGTTATATGCTAACAAAGTAAAATCTACTTGATCCGGCTTTCTCCAACTTCACCTATTAACTAGGTATTCAGCATACTGGTGAAGTATGCATGCCATGCTACCTCTCACCAAAGAAATGTGCTGTTTTAAGCAGAGCAATGTTTGTACAAAAATTTGAAACGTGCTTCCCAATTCAGCGGTAACATCATTCCTTCCGAGCACACAATTAACATGACTTGATTTAGTCGCGTAATCCTTCCGATAAAACTGACCTTTGGGGACGGGCTTAATTCTGCTGCATCAAAGTCGTCAGCCTGCAGGTCAGGATCAAACTATGAGAGAAATGAAAGCATTAGAAAAGGTATGAGAATACAAAAAAGAAACAAAAATTGCACTCCAGTTTATAGCATGCAATCTCATTACTTTATTCATGATAGATACAGTTTTCATATTGCAATTATCCTGCGAAAAAAAGGAAGGCTTCCAAAGGATATTCAAAGAAGAATAAATATCAAGCTAGGTACAGAGAAATACTAAAAACATCACCGTGATTCCATCTTCTGTCTGCACGAAGGTGTCCCCCTTTTCAGATTCCTCTGTCTGTCACGACACATATCAATCGACACATATCAATCAATAAAATCAATTTTTGTTTATGCCAAGTTAACGGGGTGATCAAGAGAGAACCCAGACATAAGCGGCTATAGATAGATAGATAGAGAGATAGATACGCAGATAGACGCCAAAAGTGCTTGCACATCGCAAACAAATGCTTCCCAATAAAAAAAGAAAATTCCGAGAATATAGGCTCTACGCCACCATCTCATAGTAGTGGCATAGACACTTACACGCCAAAACCGGTTACAAATCACGGAAAAATTGGAAGTATTGGATTCTATGAAACATTTCAGCTTTTGAACGCGTTTCAGGCCATTAAACAATGATTTATTGTTCACAGCCACGTCGATTGCCATATTCTGAAGGATTGATAGACTTCAGAGAATCAGCTCTAGTTTGCTATTAGCAGCAGCCCCTGAAATGTCATGAAAAGCTCCTCCAGAACCGCAGTTTTCAAAAGAACGTCGACGAATTTAAAATTGTAGACAATAAACCCTGTTTTCGTCCACAGCAGTGCGTGGACGCGATAGCCGAAAGCGTTGAACGTCGAGCGATTAAGATCAATGTTAACACCAGCGCAAGTTCTCAGGTTCAATTGCTGCTGTGGTTTCCTTTATTAAAGACGATAGTCTTTCTTGGAGACCTTCGACGCAAAAATTTTGTCTGTCTGTCTGTCTGTCTGTCTGTCTGCACATTTGTCTGTTTGTCCACCCTTAACGGTATCCAAAGTGGCCAAACAATACTCCAAACAGCCCCGCCGTGGTGATCTAGTGGCTAAGGTACTCGGCTGCTGACCCGCAGGTCGCGGACACAAATCCCGGTTGCGGCGGCTGCATTTCCGATGGAGGCGGAAATGTTCTAGCCCGTATGCTCAGATTTGGGTGCACGTTAAAGAACCCCAGGTGGTCGAAGTTTCTGGAGCCCTCCACTACGGCGTCTCTCATAATTTGAGACGTTAAACCCTACATATCAAAAATACTCCAAACAGCCGACCCCATCCGCAGCGCCCACCAATATTGCTCAAGATTCAGCGTTCATACTTGTGCGATTGGCAAATAAAGAGGAATTATTGCGCATATCTGAGGCACCATAGCAATACGTCAATATTCTGTATGTGTGTCTCTAACTAGAAAATGCATACAAAGTAATTTTAAGGACCGTATTGTTTATCAGGTTGCGCTGACCATGCAACGCTTCCACGAAAAGGCAAGTGTTTCCAACGCTTTGCTAAGACGACACGGTGGCGGCACCTATCCGTCGCCCTGTGTTCTACACTTTTTCCCGTCCTAGACAGGCGCGCAAGGCGCGCGCACTTTGTTTTCCGAGATAACTGCCAAATAGCGCTCATGTGTCACGTGTGACGTGACTTGATGCACTCGTTCGCCTCCGCTGCACGTTCGAGGCACTCTAACGCAGCGCCTCCAGAATACCATTCACCGATTTTCTTGCTCAAAACAACAAATAAACGTTTTGTTCACTCTCTCTCCAGACGCAAGACTATCGTGTTTCGATGACACTTGCAGTGTGACATGCAGATACGGGCCCATTTTTTCTTTATCATTTTGTCACTGCTTAGTCTGACAACCATACGCCAGATGGCATGAGGCGAAATGAAGGTCAGTAATTTACGGTTCTTGTTTTTTATTTTGTTTCTTCCTCTCTGCACCTAGCTTCTCAGACAAACAAATAACTAGTTTCTTAGTATCGTAAGATTCTAAAATGACCCAGAGCGTCTTTATCGTTCCGATATATATATATATATATATATATATATATATATATATATATATATATATATATATATATATATATATATATATATATATATATAATGAAAATAAAAAATCAATAAACAGACAAATGCAGAGGGTGTTTTTTGAAAGCTCATTTCTTGAGAGAAATGTTTAGTAAATATTATCACCATTTCTGCCTCTATAGCAATGTGTGGAGAAGAAATAAAAGTGTGGCTTTTGTGCTGCCTTAAAAGTATTAAAGGAATCTTTAGCCTCCATTGTGTGCGATTAAAAGACACAAAAGTATAAAAATTCCCAGAAATCACAATGCCAGTATTCGCAAAATAACGTGCAGATGAGAATGTTTGACGGAATCTATTTAGTTTATATCAAAGCACAATTCCGTGCGTTCGCAATGATACTCAGTGATTGTAAACTATGTTGCAATAAATAATTCTTATCGTTTGTTCGTTGATCATGTTGCGACATTTCTACAGGAGAAAGCAAAAGCAAGTCAAATTAAGTTTCTTGCGCTGGTATGTTTGGTGCAAGAGTACGTGATTGGTCCTATTTTTAATT